CCGTGTTACCTGCGGAGAGCCCTGCAGGGACCGTCCTCCCAGCCCACTGAGTATCCCAGGGGGACCCACCATGGTCCCAGCACCTGTGGCTGGGGCCAAGGGATCTGGACGTGCCGTGAGGCCGTGAACGTGGCAGCAGGCAGCAGCCTGCTTCCCCTCCCTTGATGTGGGGACGGAGGGCAGGCAGCAGCCTGGTGCTGGGGGGAGAGTGCCCCGGCCCCGGCGGGTGACGCCTGTGCGGTGCCTAGGTGCTGGGGCTGTCCCAGGGCAGCGTGAGTGACATGCTGTCACGGCCCAAGCCATGGAGCAAGCTGACGCAAAAGGGTCGGGAGCCCTTCATCCGCATGCAGCTCTGGCTGACCGACCAGCTGGGCCAAGGCATCAGCCAGCAGCCGACCCTCTCCCAGGGTAAGTGCCGCCGCCATCCCTGCGGTCCCTGTGGTCCCCATGTGCCGTCAGTGTCCCCAGCACTTCGGCATCTGCCTCACGATCCTACCCCCACCCCCCTACCCGCACCCCAATCCTGGGAAGCCTCTTTCATCCCCCTCTCCCCTGACTCATCTCCCTCTCATCTAACTCATTTGACCCCCCTTAATTAGTCGCTTAGACAATTTAGGGCTGTTATGCAGATCCTCAAAAGTTATTTTGTCAGAGATGGGTTTTGAAAGTCATCTAGTTTAAAAAAAAAAAAAAAAAAGGAAAACCACAACAAAAATCCCTGGCTTTGTGCCTGGCATGAAGAATTAATTGGGGTTTTTATATTAGTGGTGTTTTCTCTCTAACTATTCTACCAGCTCCTCCCACTTTGCCATAGCTCCTGGTAAAACTCGGCTGGCATTCCCCTTTTCTGGAGGGCAGAGCCATGGATATCCCCAAAATAACCTTCCCGTTCCTGCCAGCTCCCTGCCGCTCTCCCCTCCCGCTGTCCCCACTGACCCCTCTCCCCCGGTGTCACGCAGCCAGCCCAGCGGAGCCCCAGCCGTCCCCCTCACCGCCCCCCAGCCCTGCCGAGCATGAGAAGGGCTGCCAGGAGCCCCTCACCCTGGCCTTGGAGAGCAGCAAAGAAAACCAGCAGCCCGAGAGCCGCTCGACGCCTGCGCTGGGTGGGAAGACGTACCCCAACAGCCAGGGACCCATGGGCATCCAGGAGATCGTTGCCATGTCCCCCGAGCTGGACACGTATTCCATCACCAAGAAGGTCAAGGAGGTCTTGACGGACAACAATTTAGGTGCGGACCCTCTCCCCACCCAGGTTTTCAGGAGCTTCTGGTGAGGCTGCATGGATGCATCCCCAGTTCCCGTAGCCGCAGACCCACTCTGGTTCACTGCGAGTGCTCCGGGGGATGCCGGCACCCTGGGGAGGATGCTGGCTGGGAAACGGGGTGCACCCGCTCCGTGGGGGGACTGTAGTGCCTGCCCTGCTGCTCTGCCCCGCTCTAACCACCTCTGCTTCTCCTCCGCCAGGCCAGCGGCTGTTCGGGGAGAGCATCCTGGGCCTGACGCAGGGCTCGGTGTCCGATCTCCTCTCCAGGCCCAAGCCGTGGCACAAGCTGAGCCTGAAGGGGAGGGAGCCCTTCGTCCGCATGCAGCTCTGGCTCAACGACCCCCACAACGTGGAGAAGCTGCGTGACATGAAGAAGCTGGAGAAGAAAGGTGAGGGTCAGGGAGATGCAGCCCCCCCAGATCTGGGGTCCTGGCCAAGCAGGGGGCTCCCCGGGCCGGGGGGTGAGCGGTGCGCAGCTGGGTCTCCTCTCCTGCAGCCTACCTGAAACGTCGGTATGGGCTGATGAGCGCCGGCTCGGACAGCGAGTCCCCCAGCACCCGCTCCGAGTGCGCCAGCCCCAGCCTACAGCCGCAGGACCTCAGCCTCCTGCAGATCAAGAAGCCACGGGTGGTGCTGGCCCCAGAGGAGAAGGAAGCTCTGAAGAAAGCCTACCAGCTGGAGCCCTACCCCTCCCAGCAGACCATCGAGCTGCTCTCCTTCCAGCTCAACCTCAAGACCAACACCGTCATCAACTGGTTCCACAACTACAGGTATATGCGCTCCTGGACTTCAGGCATCTGATGGTGCTGTACCATGAAGGTGGCATTGCTGCTTCTCTTCCAGCCCTCCCTGTCCCTCTTGCCTAGATGGGGAGGTACAGACCCACGTGTGGTTGCTGGAGGTCCCCAGGTGCAGGATTGCAGCCGAAACGCTGCATGTGCCCTGGCTGGTCAAGAGGTGTTGACCACCTTGACCAAGTCATGTTGAGCATCTAAAGAGATTACCATGCTCACATCCGCCTGCTCACCGGTGCAGGACACCACTCGCCACCGAGCAGGAGCTCCGGATCCTGGAGCACAGGATCCATCCCCACAGCAGCCCGGCCCTGGGGAGCAGCACGGGTTTCATCCTTCGGCAGTATTGCAGGTGGACACGTGGCTCCTGTATCCTCCCCAGACCCACACCAAGAGCTGCCCGCTCTCTGTGTCAACAGCCCAGGTGATGGGTTGTGCCCCCTCCCGCTATATAAACCAGTATAAAAAGACATATAAGCACTTGTGTCAAGCCTGCAGAGCCTCCAGCTCCCCCGGGGGAGCATAAAGTAGATGGTCAATATTTATGGGAGCCGGCTGAGGTTTCTCGCATAAAGCCATCAGGTGGGGAGTGTGGGGGAGAGCTTGAAAAATCAGGCTTTTTGGTGAAACATTGACTAACATGGCTTTTAAACCCGCAACCTTTTCCCTCATGTGGTTCCAGGAAAGCTCCTCTTGCTCTTGGTAAACACAACCACCTGAAAATAAACCTTTGAAAAATGTTATGTATTAAACAACAAAAAAAAATGTAGTGGAAAACACTTGCAAAACTGGGTCAGTTTGGCTGGAAACAGCCCAAAGTGTTGCAAAATCCATTCCCCGTGTTCAAGTGGCAGTGATTTTCCCCCAAAAAAATGTTTTAAAGGACAACAAGGTGGGATTTTACATCTCAAGCGATGTTGTTGCATTTTTCTGGCTGAAGATGCTTTTTCAAGATGTGCGGTGCCCACCACACAGGGCGACGGGTGGCAGTCACTGACCCTCTGTGGTTGTGTCCCGGCAGGTCGCGGATGCGCCGGGAGATGCTGGTGGAGGGCGCGCAGGACAATGACACGGACCCGGAGCAGAGCGGTGGGGCAGCCATCCCTGGGCGCCGGGCCCCCCACAGCCCGGACTCGGATGCCGAGGACCGTAAACCCGTGTTCGGGGGCGGCGAGCACCCCTGCGCCACCGTGCCTGTGAAGGTGAAGGAGGAGCAGGGGGAGGCGGGCAGTTGGGGCCACCGGCGGGACTTGCGCAGCCCGG